GCGTGTCCCGCGCTGCTCCCACCTTCACCATGTGCCTTCTGGTCTCTCCTGCCACGCAGCTGCCGGGCCGGACTCCTGCCCCATTGACATTGAGGACTAGGTATGAGACCCCCACCCCCCTGCCCTGCACGTGCCCTGTCACCCGGGGGGGGTGGGGTGGTGGAAGGGAGGGTTGGCATTTCTGGGGGTTCCCTTGTTGTCCTGGCCAGGGTGACATCCCTTAGTGCCTGATCTGTAGCCCCCCCAGCATGCCCACATGTACCCTCTTGCTGGGTATTGGGAGGGCAGAGGCAGCCCCTTTCCCTTTGCTGCAGTGCTTCCCGTTTGCTCCTCAACATTCCCAAATCCTTGGGGGTTTAAGGGGCTCCCCCGGCCCAGAGAGGTAAGTGCTGGTGCTCACCAACCTCTGCTGCAGCCAGAATCCAAAGCAGGGCTGGGAAGGTGGGTGTTATTTGGGGAGACTTAAACGGCACCCCCATGGAAAGCTGAGCTGAGCACACCAGTGGGCTCTGGGAGCACGAGCTCCGTGGGCTGTCCATGCCAGCTTGGTTGAGTCCATGGGGCATGGATGAGCCCCAGTGGGTGCTGGGGATGGCAGCACAGGGCTCTGGCAGGGACAGGGGTGGCACCAGGGCAGCCAAGGGAAGTGCTGACCCCATTGTGCCCATTTCCCTTCCCTGCCAAAGTCCCTGGGTACCCTCACCCCCAGGCTGGGGGAGCTGGAGCAGGGGGGGTGGGTTTCTGCAGGTTGGGGCTGAGCCAAAACCCCAGCAGAAGTTTGGCTTTTCCAAATGTCCCAACCAAGAGCACCATCTCCTCTTGTATGGATGATTCAGTTTCACCTGGGGGTACTGGGGTGTAGCTCTAGGTGCTTGGCCCCAAGACACTCTCCACAGCCTCTAACCACCCCATTTCTCCCCCCAGGCCTGGAGGCAGCCAACAGCAACCATCACCTGTGGCAGGCACCCCGGCCCTGATGTCCCCCCAGCACCTGAGACCTGGAGCAGGCAGCAGCTGCCCTGCTCGTGTGAGGGACCAGCCTCGGTGGGGACACACCCCCCCCTGCCCACCCAGAGGGACCCTGGCATCTGGGCACCACGGGCATCACCACCTCCATCCCTTGGCTGTTCTGGGACTGATTTTTGAAAGAAAAGACGGTAACTTCGACTTTTCCTCCCTGACCAGAAAGCTTCAGATTTCACTAATGTTGCCCAAGAGCCATGTCACTTTGGAGCCCCCTAATCAGCACCTTTCCATCCTCCAGCCCTGATGGGGACAGGCTGGGGTCCCCTCCTGCCCCTGCCCACCTCACACACTTGGGCTGCTCTCCTCCAGCGTGCGGAGCAGTGCCCAGTGCGATGGGATGGGGTCACCCCACAAAGGGGTATTGGGATGTTGGCCAGAGGGTGATGATGGATGAGGGTGCCCGGGGGTGCAGGTTAAGTTGGTAGTGGCATCCTTGGTGCACGAGCTAGTGACCTTCAAAGGGGGGCTGGCCCTCCCCAGGTTTGCTGGCACGTGGCCCTGTGATGCTGTGGGATGTCCCCATTAACACACAGGGGTGATGGTGCCCACCCTCAGATCCCCCTCCCTCCACTCTTCTCCTGGGCAGCACCTGGGCTTTTGGGCCCGAGGTTGCTTTACCCCAGGGGATGGAGCAGGGTGGCAGGGGTGAGCAGGGGACCTGGTGTCCCCCCACCCCAGTCACCTGCCCTCGAGGCATCACTAATTCAACCTCACTGTCTTCCGTGCTGCTGCGAGCTCGGGGCTGTGCCCTCCCTCTGGAACAAGTGCCAAAAGTGTCACCCCCACATCCCACCTGTCCTGCCCTCTCCTTGCACTTTGTAGCAGGGGATGGATGAGGGTGTGGGAGCTGCCCCTCCACCCCTCTGTCCCCACTTCTCTGTTCCCATCCCTCCATCCCCTGCTCTTGGGCCGGTGCTGGGCTGACAGCACAAGCTGGTTTTACTCCAGGGGACAGGCACGCAGGGACACAGCCACAGTTCTTGGGGACCTGCTGGGATCACTGGTAGAGGCCAGGTGCCATTCCAGAGAGCCTCAGGGACAGTCAGAAGCTGTTTTGAGGAGCATCAGACCAGCACCCTAATCTAGCAACCTCTGGAGATGTTTGGGCCAGCTTGGGGCAGGAGCCTGAGTTCCTCCCTTTTCCCCCACTTGGTTTTCTCAGCAGCACGAGCCAGGGGAGACCCCCTGATGCAGACACAATAGCAAAGGCCACCTCCTCCTAGCAGGAGAAAAACATGTTTCAGAGCTATTTTAGGACAGAGACATTCATGCAGTGAAAGCAACATCCCACAGCAGCTGCGGGGTGTGTGTGGGGAGCAGGTCCTCACTGCCCCTCACAGCTGCAGAGCACAGGCTCTACTAGTGGCCGTGGATCCTGAAGGGGAACAAAGCCCTTTTTGGGGCTGGGTTGTCTTCACCTGGCTTACAGCTGGGGCCATGGTAGCTGCTCGTTCTGTGGCCCTGGTGTGGGTCTTGCTGGAGGCAGGGTTGGTCTTGGCTGCTTCCCTGCTCCCTCCTCCGGGCTCCCTCCACCCTGCCAAGTCTCACATCAGCTCAACAGCTCCCAGATCTCTCCCTGGGAACCCCGGGGCTGGACACTTGATGGGAGATGACATCTCCAAACTGCCATTCCCAGGATGGGAGCTGCTAACAGCAGAGAAGGCTGGCACAGCAGGGGACAAGCCTGGTGCCCTGCTTAGGGACATTGTGCCATGGTGGGGCTCCCCATAGGTCTGCGTGTCCTGGCCCCAGGCAGCCCCAGGAGGAAACCAGGGAGGCTGCAGAAGGCCAGCTGCTCCCACACCCTCGAGCATGGGTAGAAGAGGGAAAATCAGGCTGGTGCTCCAAGGGTGGCTGGTTTGCCAAAGTCCCCCAGCCTTCCTTGCAGTTTCAAAGGGAACAAGGACAGCTCTCCAGGCCTGGGCACCTGGCACAGGGCTGTGATGGTGCTTGTGGCTGCCAGCACAACCAGGCCAGAACAGGCAGGTCCTTGCTCAGGAGAGTTGCAGATGGTGAGTGGGAAGGTTCAGCA